GAGTATATTTATCTCAGCGACTTATTTTTTTTTTGAGCGGTCAGATGTAGTGCTTCGATCTGGATTGATCCGTTGATTAGCATCACAACATTTTTCTATTATTTTTGTCAAACTATAATTTTTGTCAGATTTAAAAAAATTATTGGCCAAACTTATAGCTCCAACTCAAATAAACTGTTGCCAAACCGTAGTAAACCGCGGATTGATCCGTTAAAATCCCATCCGGATCGAAGCACTAGTCAGATGCCTATTTGCCACTTTCGTAATGAAAAAACTGCGCTCATAGCATGCTACGAATACTTTTATCCTAAAAGATATTAGATTATGAATAAATATTGAGTAATAATAATAATAATAATAAAGTTTTAATTAAAGATGCAAAAAATAGAATATGTAAAAACGTTTCCTTTGAATTGTACTAAGTAAGAAAATATTGAAAATAAACGGAATTAGACTGAATTACTGAACTTCTACTAGGTAAGTAAGGTGAATTAGCAAAACGATTTTTATTGATATTATTTCACGAAACGCGCGCTTAGCGAAGGACATTTTGTTGTTATGTACAGTACTAGATGATTTTGATCTGTGACCCATGTAATTTTCCCGTCATAACTTTTGAATTAGTATTATTTTTTGTAATACTTGTTTTTTATTTGTAGCATATGATTTATAATTACTGTATTTACATGAGCGGGTGGACCCATTTACCTAGTATATAACTAATTTGAGTGAAGTCTGAAAATTTCATAATTTTGTAATGCTGTTTATCTTTTACGATTTTAATTTCGAGTAATATATATATTTATTTAAAAAAAAATTCAGGAAATTTGATTTACGCTCTAATACTGCTCTAATGTTATCATGGCACAAACATTTTGATGAAGCTATTTAAGCTTTTTTATAGCGAATAATTACTTTATAAAGATTCGCAAAATTATTATAAACCGAAGAATATACTTTAAGCCAATTTGTTTGATGTTTGTTCGTGTTTTTGCTAATGCTAAACGTTGTAACTTTACATATAAGGCTCCACTTATTATACACAAAGTACACTAATTTTACGCTTAAATAGTTAGATATAGAACATTATGAAGAAAATATTACCTAAATTTTTAAGTATTTATTTATTTAATATTATATAGAAATAGATTAATTTAACATCAACTGCAAAATTTTAATATTAAAGAAACTAGTAAATATCAAATTCAGTTGAAACTACAATTTTACTTAATACTATTTATTAAGATTTTGTTTCGTTCAGCTACTAAATTATTTTTTATATATGGAAATGTATATATGGGTAAGTATTCTACTATTCTACAAATTTTATCATAGAATATTAGTATGAATTGTTAAGAAATTTCGTTATAAAAATTTCATAATAAAATTTTTATTCCAAAGTCTCACAAAATTTGCTGATCAAAGGCACGTTGTACATTTTAATACGTAGATTTGTTGGTTAAGTTTGAAAAATAACTATCCAAATTCAGTTAGTTACATTATAATTTAACGCCAATATACATATATATACAAACGTAAAATTCTTTTTCACAAATTTGAAAATAATCTTTCTTCTACATACAAAATATAAAAATGAGTTTTAATAATGAAACTCAAGTAGTATCTGAATTTAATATTTCCGATGAAGATTCTAGTTCCGTAAAAATTAGTCATGATAATTGTTATGACCCAGATAATGGTAAATTTTGGTGTAAAGAATGTGTTCCTCGTTGCATAATTGAAGGGTGGACTAGCAGTGGAAATGATGATATTGATAATCTTATCAAGGATTCGATTTATAACGCAAGAAAAAAGTATTTTTATTATCCAAATTATCCATTATTTCTTGAATGGGTTCCATTTGATAGATTTAAAGATATGAAACAAATAGGTGAAGGTGGATTCGCAAAAGTGTATTCTGCAACTTGGATTGATGGTGATGCAAAATACATTAAACAAGATGATGGAAATTGGATAAAAAGAGAACCTAAATCTATGGAAGTTGCCTTGAAAAGGCTGAATGGATCACAGAATATGTCAGCTGATTATTTAAATGAGGTTTATTTTCATTCATATTTTTTATTTTTTAAATTTTTATAAAAGTATTAAGTTTATTTTATTTTATTTAATTTAATTAATAGCTTAAAGCACATTGGAAATTAAATTACATACAAACAGATTCTTTAAAATTTTATGGGATGACCAAAGATCCAGAAACTGAAGAATTTATAATGATTATGCAATTTTCAAGTAGAGGAAATTTGAGAAATATTCTTTCAAGTGATTTTGAAAATATTTTATGGAGTGAGAAAATTGAGTATTTATATTGTGCAGCAACGGATCTTAAAAATTTACATGAATTAGGATATTTTCATAAAGATTTTCATAGTGGAAATATGTTATCAAGTAATGATGGTTTTTATATTTCAGATTTTGGATTATCTAGACCATCAAATGAACAGAAATCGTCAGATAATAAAATAGTTGGTGTTTTGCCATATATTGCTCCAGAAGTTTTAAATGGAGAACCATATACATTATCTTCAGATATTTATAGTTTCGGTGTAGTTATGGCTGAAGTATCATCTGGAAAACCTCCTTTTTATAAAAGAAATCATGATAATAGCTTAGCATTAAAAATATGTAATGGACTCAGACCAAAATTTGGAAAAGGAACCCCTGAAATTTATAAGAAATTAGCACATAGATGTATGAATGCTAATCCTAATCAAAGACCAACAGTCAATGAATTATATGAAATATTAAATTGTTGGCATTGGTATGATGATAATGAAAAATATGGATATAAAGGAAAAGAAGTTAGAAATGCATTTGAGGAAGCTGATAAAGAAATACCAAATATTTCAACCTTATGTGAAAAAGATCCTGATGCTATTTATACTAGTAGAGCATTTACATTTAAAGATTTATCAAAACCCATTAATTCATCTTTCATTGTCACTAAATATCTTAATGAAGAATATAATAAAGGTATTGTATTTTATATTATTTTTTAAATTGTAGAAAATAATTAAAATGACAAAGAATTCTATTTATTTTAATAGATTGTCAAGATTCTCAATTAATTGACTTAGAAGTTCCTAGCACATCGAAATTAGAGGGTAAATATATTTACTATGTACTGTAGTATTTATAATATTTATTTTTTTGATGTAAAATAACTAACGCTTTATTTTAATTTTTTATAATAGGTGGTTATAGTGTTAACTAAATAAAAATTTTGTAACTATATATATGTTAATTTTTTATTTATTTACGATAAAATTAAATAAATAAGAATAGCTTTTTTACTAGAATCACCTTATGAATATATCAAGTTTATTATTTAATTAAATACTAGTTATATTGTATTGAAGATATTTGTAAAAGGGTAATTCGTCTTGTAATAAATACTACAAAAGAATATTAAAAAATTATTCGGATTTTTATTATAATTTGGTTGAAATTTAAAAAATAAAAATAAAAAATGATATTGACCTTGCATTGAGCGATTGACTAATTTTTGCTAATTGTAAGTTATGGTGATCAAGATTTTCTTTCTTATTTGAATTTTACATAAACAAATTATATAATGTCAAGTGATATGATATTATTTTTTTTTTGTCTAAATTTTTGATTTAAAATACGCTCTAACAAATTTTAAGAAAACTATGAAATTTAGAAAACATATTGAAGTGCGAAAATTTATTGATAATAACTACCGCGCGGAGTATATTTATCTCAGCGACTAATTTTTTTTTTTTTTTTTTTTTATGTACAGTACTAGATGATTTTGATCTGTGACCCATGTAATTTTCCGTCATAACTTTTTGAATTATTATTTTTTTTGTAATACTTGTTTTTTATTTGTAGCATATGATTTATAATTACTGTATTTACATCAGCGGGCGGACCCATTTACCTAGTATATAGCTAATTTGAGTGAAGTCTGGAAATTTCATAATTTTGTAATGCTGTTTATCTTTTACGTTTTTAATTTCGAGTAATATGTATATATATTTATTTTTTAAAAAAATTCAAGATCAATAATAGGAAATTTGATTTACGCTCTAATACTGCTCTAATGTTATGGCACAAACATTTTGATGAAGCTATTTAAGCTTTTTTATAGCGAATTACTTTATAAAGATTCGCAAAATTATTATAAACCGAAGAATATACTTTAAGCCAATTTGTTTGATGTTTGTTCGTGTTGCTAAACGTTGTAACTTACATATAAGGCTCCACTTATTACACATAAAGTACACTAATTTACGCTTAGTTAGTTAGATATAGAACGTTATAAAAGGAAAATAATACCTAAATTTTTAAGTATTTGTTTATTTAATATTATATAGAAATAGATTAATTTAACATCAACTGTAAAATTTTAATATTAAAGAAACTAAATATCAAAATTCACTTAAAACTACAATTTTAATTAATCCTAATATTTATTATTGAAAAGTAATAGACTGAAATAATTTATTAAGATTTTGTTTCGTTTAGCCAAATTATTTTTTATAGATGATAAATGTTTGTATCGGTAAGTAATAAGTATTCTATTATTCTACAATTTTTGATCGTAGAATATTATGAATTGTTAAGAAATTTCGTTATAAAAATTTGCAATTATTAAAGTTTCACAAAATTTGCTGATCAAAGGTACGTTATACAGTACGACAGTTATAAATTTTGTTGGTTCAATAATTATTCCAAATTCAGTTAGTTACATAGTAAATTAACGCCATCATTAGGAGCAGTAATCCCGCACCCGTGGTGTAACCGGACTTTACAATTTTTAGTAACAGAAACCCGTCCAATGTGTGACAATAAGGTGTGACAAATAGAGATCAGACTGCAAAAAAATTTCTAAGTCGCTGAGATAAATATAAACAACGCGTTCCTCACGGTCACGTGACATGTGACAATAAACATCACCTCGGTTACACCACGGGTGCGGGATNATCCGGATGAAGATACGAATGATTCACATCTGCTATTTCTGTATTATAAATATGATTAGTACTGTTTTATAGTAACGGATCCATTCGGATGATTATCCGGATCATCCGTTATTTACATCCGGATTTTATATTGAAATTCATTCGGATGGTCATCCGGATCATCCATTTATTTACGGACCGGATTAAACGGATGACGAATTCTAACACTACTCGTGATGAAAAAACTGCGCTCATAGCATGTTCCGAATATTTTTATCCTAAAAGATATTAGATCATGAATAATAATAATAAAATTTTAATAAAGATGCAAAAAATAGAATATGTAAAAACGTTTCCTTTGAATTGTAAGTAAGAAAATATTGAAAATAAACGGAATTAGACTGAATTACTGAACAAAACGATTTTTATTGATATTATTTCACGAAACGTGCGCGTGTAGCGAAGGACATTTTATTGTTATGTACAGTACTAGATGATTTTGATCTGTGACCCATGTAATTTTCCGTCATAACTTTTTGAATTATTATTTTTTTTGTAATACTTGTTTTTTATTTGTAGCATATGATTTATAATTACTGTATTTACATCAGCGGGCGGACCCATTTACCTAGTATATAGCTAATTTGAGTGAAGTCTGGAAATTTCATAATTTTGTAATGCTGTTTATCTTTTACGTTTTTAATTTCGAGTAATATGTATATATATTTATTTTTTAAAAAAATTCAAGATCAATAATAGGAAATTTGATTTACGCTCTAATACTGCTCTAATGTTATGGCACAAACATTTTGATGAAGCTATTTAAGCTTTTTTATAGCGAATTACTTTATAAAGATTCGCAAAATTATTATAAACCGAAGAATATACTTTAAGCCAATTTGTTTGATGTTTGTTCGTGTTGCTAAACGTTGTAACTTACATATAAGGCTCCACTTATTACACATAAAGTACACTAATTTACGCTTAGTTAGTTAGATATAGAACGTTATAAAAGGAAAATAATACCTAAATTTTTAAGTATTTGTTTATTTAATATTATATAGAAATAGATTAATTTAACATCAACTGTAAAATTTTAATATTAAAGAAACTAAATATCAAAATTCACTTAAAACTACAATTTTAATTAATCCTAATATTTATTATTGAAAAGTAATAGACTGAAATAATTTATTAAGATTTTGTTTCGTTTAGCCAAATTATTTTTTATAGATGATAAATGTTTGTATCGGTAAGTAATAAGTATTCTATTATTCTACAATTTTTGATCGTAGAATATTATGAATTGTTAAGAAATTTCGTTATAAAAATTTGCAATTATTAAAGTTTCACAAAATTTGCTGATCAAAGGTACGTTATACAGTACGACAGTTATAAATTTTGTTGGTTCAATAATTATTCCAAATTCAGTTAGTTACATAGTAAATTAACGCCATCATTAGGAGCAGTAATCCCGCACCCGTGGTGTAACCGGACTTTACAATTTTTAGTAACAGAAACCCGTCCAATGTGTGACAATAAGGTGTGACAAATAGAGATCAGACTGCAAAAAAATTTCTAAGTCGCTGAGATAAATATAAACAACGCGTTCCTCACGGTCACGTGACATGTGACAATAAACATCACCTCGGTTACACCACGGGTGCGGGATTATAGATCCGCCAGAGCCATTATACATATACAAACGTAAAATTCTTTTTCACAAATTTGAAATAATATAAAATATAAAATACAAAAATGAGTTCTAAAAGTAGTATCTGATTTTAATGAATTAAATATCTCTGATAAAAACTCTATTTCTGCAAATATTAATCATGATAATTGTTACGACCCAGCTAATAATAAAATTTGGTGTAAAGAATGTGTTCCTCGTTGCATAATTGAAGGGTGGACCAGCAGTGGAAATGATGATATTGATAATCTTATCAAGGATTCGATTTATAATGCAATTAGACATCGTTATCCTGGTTGTCCATCATTTCTTGAATGGGTTCCATTTGATAGATTTAAAGATATGAAACAAATAGGTGAAGGTGGATTTGCAAAAGTGTATTCTGCAACTTGGATTGATGGTGATGCAAAATACATTAAACAAGGTGATGGAAATTGGATAAAAAGAGAACCTGAATCCATACAAGTTGCTTTGAAAAAGCTAAATGGATCACAAAATATGTCAGCTGATTATTTAAATGAGGTATATTTTCATTTATATTTTATATTTTTTAATTTTTTTGAAAATATTAATTTGATTTAATTTAATTAATAGCTTAAAACGCATTGGAAATTAAATTGTTTACAAGATGATTCTTTAAAATTTTATGGAATATCTAAAGACCCAGAAACTGAAGAAATTATAATGATCATGCAATATGCAGATGGTGGAAATTTGAGAAATATTCTTTCAAGTAATTTTAAAAAAACTTTATGGAATGGGAAAATTAGATATTTATCGGATTCAGCATTTGACCTTAAAAATTTACATGAATTAGGATATTTTCATAAAGATTTTCATAGTGGAAATATATTAAGTATTGGCGTTAATTCTTATATTTCAGATTTTGGATTATCTAGACCATCAAATGAACAGAAATCATCAGATAGTAATAAAATAGTTGGTGTGTTGCCATATATTGCTCCAGAAGTTTTAAATGGAGAACCATATACATTATCTTCTGACATTTATAGCTTTGGTGTAGTTATGGCTGAATTATCATCTGGAAAANACTTAGCATTGGAAATATGTAATGGACTCAGACCAAAATTTGGAAAAGGAACCCCTGAAATTTATAAGAAATTAGCTCATAGATGTATGAATGCTGATCCAAATCAAAGACCAACAGCCAATGAATTAGGTGAAATATTAGTTTGTTGGAATAATTATGCGAATGGTTACTATGATTATGGTAATGAAAATGAAAAATATGGTTATAAAAGAAAGGAAGTTAAAGCTGTATTTGATAAAGCTGATGAAGAGATACCAAATATTTCAGCCTTGCATGAAAAAGATCCTGATGCTATTTACACTAGTAGAGCATTTACATTTAAAAATTTGTCAAAGCCCATTAATTCATCTTTTATTGCTACTACATATCTTGATAATAAAGGTACTGTGTTTTATATTATTTTTTGAATTATATAAAATAATTAAATGACAAATAATTTTATTTATTTTAATAGATTGTCAAGATTCTCAATTAATTGACTTAGAAGTTCCTAGTACGTCAAAATTAGAGGGTAAATATATTTACTATGTACTGTATTTATAATATTTATTTTTTTGATGTAAAATAATTAACGCTTTATTTTAATTTTTATAATAGATGGTGATAGCGATAACTAAATAAAAATTTCGTAACTATATAGATGTTAATTTTTTTATTTATTTACGATAAAATTAAAGAAATAATCACCTTTATGAATATATCAAGTTTATTATTTAATTAAATACTAGTTATATTGTATTGAAGATATTTGTAAAAGGGGTAATTCGTCTTGTAATAAACACTACAAAAGAATGTTAAAAACTTATCTGGATTTTTACTATAATTTGATTGAAATTAAAAAATAAAATAAAAAAATGATATTGACCTTGCATTGAGCGATTGACTAATTTTTGCTAATTGTAAGTTATGGTGATTTGGTTAAGCAAATTATATAATATGATTTGATTTGATTTTTTTTTTTTTTGACTAAATTTTTGATTAAAATCCGCTCTAACGAATTTTAAGAAACTAGTATTTTTAATCTATGAAATATAGAATACATATTGAAGTGCGAAAATTTATTGTTAATAACTACCGTGCAGAGTATATTTATCTCAGCGACTTATTTTTTTTTTTAGCGGTCAGATGTCTATTTGTTACTTTCGTGATGAAAAAACTGCGATCACAGAACGGGGATGCATGCTCCGAATACTTTTATCCTAAAAGATATTAGATTATGAATAAATATTGAGTATTAACTGAAAAAAATAATAATAATAAAAAGTTTTAATTAATGATACAAAAAATAAAATATGTAAAAACGTTTCCTTTGAATTGTAAGTAAGAAAATATTGAAAATAAACGGAATTAGACTGAATTAAGTAAATTAAGGTGAATTAACAGAGCGATTTTTATTATAATATTATTACCCAAAGCGTAGCGAAGGACTTTTTACTGTTATACACAGTACTAGACGACTTTGATCTGTAACCGTGCAATTTCCCTCTTTCCTTCCTTCTTACGTCATAACTTTTTGAATTATTATTTTTTTGTAATACTTGTTTTTTATTTGTATCATATGATTTTATTTACATCAGCGGGCGGACCCATTTACCTAGTATATCATAGCTAATTTGACGGTAAGTATTCTATCATTCTACAACTTTGATCGTAGTATATCAATTATTAAAGTTTCACAAAATTTGCTGATCAAAGGTACGTTATACAGTACGACAGTTCCCATAAATTTTTGTTGGTTCAATAATTATCCAAATTCAGTTAGTTACATTATAAATTAACGCCATTATACATATCAGATATACAAACTACATATATATATTATACATATACAAACGTAAAATTCTTTTTTCACAAGTTTGAAATAATATAAAATATAAAATATAAAAATGAGTTTAAATAATGAAACCCAAGTAGTATCTGATTTTAATGAACTAAATATCTTTGATAAAAGTTCTACTTCGGCAAAAATTAATCATGAAAATTGTTACAATCCAAAGAAAAAAAAATTTTGGTGTAAAGAATGTGTTCCTCGTTGCATAATTGAAGGTTGGATCAGTGGAAATGATGATATTGATAATTTTATCAAGGATTCGATTTATAACGGGTGTTATCCATCATTTCTTGAATGGGTTCCATTTGATAGATTTGAAGATATGAAACAAATAGGTGAAGGTGGATTTGCAAAAGTGTATTCTGCAACTTGGATTGATGGTGATGCAAATTACATTAAACAAGATGATGGAAATTGGATAAAAAGAGAACCTAAATCCATGGAAGTTGCCTTGAAAAGGCTGAATGGATCACAGAATATGTCAGCTGATCATTTAAATGAAGTATATTTTCATTTATATTTTATATTTTTTAATTTTTTTAAAAATATTAAGTTTATTTATTTGATTTAATTTAATTAATAGCTTAAAACACATTGGAAATTAAATTGCATACAATTAGATTCTTTAAAATTTTATGGGATGACCAAAGATCCAAAAACTGAAGAATTTATGATGATTATGCAATTTGCAAGTAGAGGAGATTTGAGAAATATTCTTTCAAGTAATTTTAAAAATATTTTATGGAATGAGAAAATTGATTATTTATATCTTATGGCAAAGGATCTTAAAAATTTACATGAATTAGGCTATTTTCATAAAGATTTTCATAGTGGAAATATGTTATCATGTGATGATGATAGTTTTTATATTTCAGATTTTGGATTATCTGGACCATCAAATGAACAGAAATTATCAGATAGTAGTAATAAAATAGTTGGTGTGTTACCATATATATATTGCTCCAGAAGTTTTAAATGGAGAACCATATACATTATCTTCAGATATTTATAGTTTCGGTGTAGTTATGGCTGAAGTATCATCTGGAAAACCTTCTTTTTATAAAAGAAAACATGATAATAACTTAGCATTGGAAATATGTAATGGACTCAGACCAAAATTTGGAAAAGGAACCCCTGAAATTTATAAGAAATTAGCTCATAGATGTATGAATGCTAATCCAAATCAAAGACCAACAGTCAATGAATTATATGAAATATTAAATTGTTGGCATTGGTATGATGATAATGAAAAATATGGATATAAAGGAAAAGAAGTTAGAAATGCATTTGAGGAAGCTGATAAAGAAATACCAAATATTTCAACCTTATGTGAAAAAGATCCTGATGCTATTTATACTAGTAGAGCATTTACATTTAAAATTTTGTCAAAGCCCATTAATTCATCTTTTATTGCTACTACATATCTTAATGAAGAAGATAATAAAGGTATTGTATTTTATATTATTTTTTAAATTATATAAAATAATTAAAAATGACAAATAATTTTATTTATTTTAATAGATTGTCAAGATTCTCAATTAATTGACTTAGAGATTCCTAGCACGTCAAAATTAGAAGGTAAATATATTTAAACTATGTACTGTAATTATAATACATATTTATTTTTGTTTTAAATCTTTATTTTAATTTTTATAATAGATGGTGATAGTGATAACTAAATAAATCGTATCAAAAATTTTGTAACTATATACAGTCAGCTCTCAATATAACGAACCCTCCGGTTCACCTCAAATTCGCTACAAGATTATAGTGAAGAATTCAAAGAATTTAATTATTGGCTTTTGGCTGATTCGTTATAACGAGGGATATTTGACGTATTTGATTATTTTTTTAAATATACTTTTTAACCGAACGAAAAAAAAAGTATTAATATTGAATGGTAATAATCATATCGATATGAGGTTAGATGTCACGTGTTGGAAAAATTTCGTTATAAAGCGAGTTCGTTATATCGAGAGTTGACTGTATACTATGTTAATTTTTTTTATTTATTTACGATAAAATTAAAGAATTAAGAATAATTTTTTTACCACAATCACTTTATGAATATATCATGTTTATTATTTAATTAAATAGTTCATAGTTGTATTTAAGATATTTGTAAAAGCGGTAATTCGTCTTGTAATAAATACTATAAAAAGAATAAATGCTATTTTGACTTTGTATTGAGAGATTGATTAATTTTTGTTAATTGTAAGTTTTGTTGATCGAGACCGAGAAATTTTCTTTCTTTATTTCTTATTTGAATTTTACATTAAGCAAATTATAAGGATTTCAAATGATATGATCTAAAATACTTTCTAACAAATTTAACTATTTTTAATCTATGAAATATAGCAAAAGATACGAAGTCATATTGAAAAATTAAGAGTTTAATGAAGCCGATCAGAAAAGATTAGAATTAATTGGATTAAAAAAACTTGGACCTGAATATACCGAAAAACCTCATTTCTGATAAGTCTATATCATTAACCGAATTAACGAAACAAGATACTAGGCAAGCAAGGTATAAATTATAAAATATAAGATTTAAATAATTAATTTAATATTGATTTTTGATTTCAATTTTTTAAGATACATTACAAGAACAAACGAGTTTGACATACAAACTTTATTATTTTTTTTGGCTATTATATATAGTATTGATGAGATATATAATACACACTTTAAGCTTCCGAGCTAATAATTTCAAAAATTTGTTAAATAAAGAAATGGTTCATGCGAGACAACAAATCTAATCAATTTACATCATCATTTTATTTTGCTTAATTAACATTGCGATAATTATATATGTGTAGAATACTTTGAATTTAAATTAAACATTTACTAGTATTAACTAAAGATGGCAACGGTTATGGTCAGTTATCGGTCGGTCATAACCGGTCAAGAACCTTTGACCGACCGACTATTTGACCGTTTTGGTTAAGTCAAACGGTCGGTCACGGTTATGACCGCCATCACTATAAATAAGTATCAGAAGATTTAGCGTATTCCGTCCTCTTAAAACTTCGGGTGCAATATAAGGTAACACACCTTATATACTGTTTTTTGTATTTTCTTACTCGCTCTATATACTTTGCCAAATCCGACTTTTGCGATATATTTAACATCATACTACTGTAAAATCTATCATATTCATTCAAATGCTTTATGATACTTATCTGTTGTTAGCTGGGTTCTTTTTAGCAAATTTTGCGTGAAAAATTAAATCTAACGATAGAGAACGTCTGTATGAGGAAATAAAATCAAAGCAGGGTTACTATATAATCCACATTCTTGAAAGTTTCACTGTACCATTTAGTAATTAATTTATGCTGTTTTATTGCCACAAATAATTCTGCAAGGGGGATCAATTTATTCAGCTAAAAATCAATTTCCGGTATTTTAATGTTAATTTTTAAAATTTATTAGTAATATAATTTGAATTTTAATATAGATAAGAAATAGAGAACAAATTATGTTTGAATCAAAATAAAATAAATTAAATTAACATTATGAACAGTAAGTGATACCGGTGGATAACCAGGCGCTAATATAAAATATAAATATATATTGCACAGTGTACACATTGCTCTTCGACCCCAGCTTTTGATGTACTGTATATGGACAAGCTGTCAAATGTTTCTCTGCAAGTTTATTATAACTTTCGTTGTATTAAAAATTTAAAATATTACTTTTATCATAAGTATTACGATAATTTATCGTTTTTCTCTTCCACACCATATAAGAAAGAATGATTTCCCTGTTTTAATAACGATTTAGTCTTCTCACTATTTTAGAATACGTTTCTTTAAAAGAACGGATTATTATATTACTGTATTAATTTCCAAACATTTATTCAGTAAACCATGAATTTCAACAAGCCCTCAATTTTTGGGCTTATTCATGGTTAATTGTTGCCCGAATAATGAAGTTTAAAGATTTAGATTATTTCTTGATACTGTATGTTTTCTTTTCATTACAAGAATATTGCAAATTTTAATGTTTTAAACTGAAGCAGATGAACTGTTTTTTAGTATGATTTACTATGTAATATTTTATTAATTTGTTAGTTCTTTCAGTGCTAAGACAAATATTTCATTTGAATATTTAATTTAATTTTATTATTTAGTATAAAAATGTCATTTAGAAAATTTTTCGTTAAATCAACAAATAAATAATGAATTAAAAAGAAGGATTTAATTCATCATATAGAAATAAATTTGTGAAACCTCCTTTTTAATGTTCAGAATGAAGAAATCTGGCCTACTAACAAGGTCGAAATTACGATAATGTTATTTAAAAAGTAAATTTTTGCACTGATTTATAATTTACTGCGCCTGCGGTAAATCATAAGAATGTGTTTCTTTCAGAAATTTTTTTTTTATTTTTTTCCAAATTTGTCTCATTGTCGACTATAGTCTTAGCCTCAAAGTATCACAAATTCCAAATTATTTTCATTAAATAATAATAAAAAATCAATCTTAAATTATTTTATATTTTGTTGTTTTAACCAATGATTTATGATTTATCTATTGAATAAAGATTCATCAATCAAAAACTTTTTCTTTTTTGTCCGGAGCGAAGCGAAGGACAATATATGTCTGCGTCTCTACGCACTATGAAAAAAAAACCGATCACGTGAATTTCTCTGTCCGCCACGTGATCGTCACCCAATGAATCGCAAATTTTGGTTTTTCGCTCCGGACTTACAACGGTTCCCGTTTCCTAGTAATAACCTAAAAAAATCAGCGATAAATACCATCTGGGGAAATAAGTCTTAATTTACAAAAATGGACGAATCATTTAAGAAATTACATTCGTTACGTCATTATCCAAACATTTATTTTGTGATTATTTTATTTTTTTTTTTTTTACAACATGCGTAAACGCATTTCTTTATTAAGTAAAGTGTGAAAGAGAACAAATTACATATTAAATAATAGAAATACTTTGAAATTGATGGCGTCAAGCATCATCAATCTCTCCATACCAAGCGCTTCGGCCTACCACACGACGCCCTTGAACTACTACACAACTATCTACTACCCTAATAATACAGTGAAACTGTGCCTCCTCTACCTCTTCTATGACTTCCGAATTTACCTCCCCTTTTTTGTTAATACTTACTGTCCACCCTTCTTCGTCACTCTCTTCCTCTTCCGCTTTACTCCTATCCCCTTGCTTTCCTATAACACGCTTTTTACCTTCTTTTATGTCTTCTTCATCAGAAGAAGATTCAACTGCGAATGGGTTAGTTCCTGTCCTTTTATATTTTGGTATTTTTCCCCAGGCGGCAGTCTTTTTGAGCAAGAAGCGTTAACCGTTTCATATTCGTGCAGCTCGATTGGAGTCACTGGGTTTGTACTTTTTGTTGTCTCCGCAGCATCTGCTTCTTTTGCTTTCTTTTCGTCGATTTCTTTCTTCTTAGCTCGTACGTCCTTGACTAAGTCGGAAAATCCTTTTCTAGCTCTATCTATCCATTCCTCATCCTCTTTCTGCTTTATTGAGTCGATATCTGGTTGGCCTTGTCGGTCATCTTTTCTCAAATCAATACTATGTCTACTACCGTTTCAGGCGAAGTATAATCTTTTATTGAAGTTGACACCCTTTGTTGTGGACATTCATCCAACAAGTCGGGTTTACTACAAAATCTCGACAACCATAAAATCGACAGTCTACAATCCCGACACCAAGATCCCGACAACCCAAATCCCGTTGAAATAAAATCCCGATAGTCTTCAAATTTCGACAGTTAAAAATCTTAACAATCAAAATCCCAAAGTTTTTTTTTTTAAATATAATGTTAAAAATGCAATGACGCAGTAATGGCTTGATTTATTGTAAATTTTATTAATACCAATGTAAATTGTTTATTAATATTACTGTAATGCAAATTAACTAACGTTACTATGTTATTAATGAAATTAAAAGAAAAAATTTTATCTTAGTTAAAAGGATTATGTACAGTATATTACAAGATTACTAAACTATTCCTTATCTTCTAAAATTAGAAACAATTGCATTAAAAAAATTAACTAATCTCAAATTCATCTGATCGAATCTCAGCCAGGATTTTGACTGTACAGATTTTAGATCATCGGGATTCTGTGAATGCCAGGATTTGATACAATCGGGATTTGCATTTATCGGGATTTTGGTGTCGTGATTATAGACTGTCGATATTATAGGTGTCAGGATTTTTGGGTGATCCCAACAAAGTCCGCCCTGAACTTGTTTACCGTGTCTACTACTTCGTCTGTACTTACAGTCTCTATAATTGTTGTTGTTACCGTACGTCGTTTGTTTTTGTTGATGAACAGAATTCCCCTCGTTATCATTATTTTGTGATTATTAGCAATATATAGTCAAATTATTGAACGCGATTTATTAAAATAGCATTCGTAATGATTTTTCTTAACGTTTAACGCATGATTCCATCAACATCTTTCTTGTACAAATCACAATAAAATCCAACCGTTTCTTAACAGTTGTTTCATTTTTAATTACGATTTTTTTCTTTGTAAAACACAAAATGGAGATATGAAAGAATCAAAAAAGTTTAGGACGGAATATATAGTAAAGTATTACAGCATGATATAATATAAGACGAATAGTTGTGGGTTCCGGTAGAGGTGTTGAGTGGAGTACAGTGCTAAAAAAAGTGTTGAATACGGTACACTAATAATACAATGTACACAATAGCAATACGTATGTAAACCTTTTAATTATTTAGCTTGTTAAATTAAAATAAAAAAAATTTTTAATTAAAAAAGAGTTGTATGCAATTACAATCCAATTATAATTTTAATTTTTTTTATTATGTTATATTTCCTATACAAAATATTCTATTCATACATCTTCGCAAATTAGTATTCGCCATAGATGTTCAAAAACGCGAAGATTATTATTTTTTTTTTTTGTTAGTAACACGCATAACTTTATTAGGATTTAAATTTAAATTATACAAATGTACAATTCAAATACTCCTTACATAAGAACTTCCGAATTCTTTAGAATGACTTTCCCCCGAGATTTATTTACCTTTTTGATGTAATATCAAACTTATTGAATGTCAACAAATTTGAACTCGGCGAAAAATCAGATTTTTAATGCCAAAAATAAAAATAAAAATAAAAATAAAATTATTAATCAGATCAAATTTATATACATTTTATATAGAATAAGCTAAAAATAAAAATATATATAATCGAATATATCCCAAAAACTCACTACATTATATTAGATAAATAACAACCTAATTCTAATTTACTAACTGAATAATTTGACATTTGATTTGTTAATTTTATTTATTCTACAAAGTTAAATAGATACAAAATATTGCAATTTTATTATAATTCAAATCTCTATCAGTATTGAAATTTTAACTCCGAATAAAAAAAGATATAAATGACTTTTTTAATTATTTTAATAAAAAACGTTGCGAAAACGTTTTTCATTAAGTAATTTAATAAAAAAACGTTTCACACCGTTTTTTATAATTGTTTTAACAAAAAAAGTTGCGAAAACGTTTTTTATTAATAATTTCGTTAAAAAAAAAAAAAAAAAAAAGTTTTTGCACGTTTTTTTAATAAAAACTGAACGTTGCAAAAACGTTGGTAATTAATAATACCGAACCGAATCTAATTATACTGTATAGGCGGATTTAATTAATTAACTCCATTTAGTTCGTTAGTGGGACAATGATTGCCTGATTTGTGAGACAAGAAATACCTTCGGGAATCCAGTATTCCAGTGTTATACAAAAATCATAATCTTGTGTACACTAAAATAATTACTATTGTGTTATTAGATTAGATTTTATAATAGATTTTAATAATGGTTTCCTTAATGACTTTATTGTCTTGTAAATAAATTTCAACTGTGTGGCTTAAAATGTTTTGATCAACATTGCATGATGGCGTCAATATCGGAATTTACGATAGTTAAAAAGGAAATAAATCAACAAAAGATCCGCCACCAATATAACAAACAATATAAAATCATTTGCAAAAGTTTTTACCAAAAAAAGAAAATTTTTTTTTAAGGTTAGATCAAATAAGTAATAGATCCGAAATTGTTTCTTCTATTTTTAAATCGGTTTGTACTCTGGAACATAATACAATTAATGCATGTAAGATTAAGGGGTAATCGCTTTATTTGGAATTTATTATAATCGAAAATACAAATACAACTTGAATTGATTTTATTACTTATATATCAAGCACCTAGAACCAAAAAAATCATTCTACAGGAAATAATAAAAATATCAAAAAGAAATAATAGTAAATTTTTCGTTCGTCAGTAAATTTAAAGTCTACAATATGGATGGTTCTGATCACTTTACTGATTCTAGATTATTTAAGGTTCTTGGTGGTTATATTGGCTTGGCCGGTATAGCGATAGCCATGATTTTCGTGGCCTTTATAATTCTCATATTTATTGTTCGAATCATTCAATATCCTCATCTTCGCCAACAAGTTATTGATCATATGACTGGTAAAAGTACTCGAAGCATTCACACAAGAATACTTAAAACGATCGTTTTCTTCCTCTTTACTGCCGGCTTATTTGGACTCACCTTCTACAGTATCTATAAAATGATATATGATCCCCCCAACGTACTACCAGCAATATTTGAATCAAACACAATTTCACCATCCATACTTTTTTGCCCAAGCATAGATAGTGAACTTATATTTATTGCAGCAGATTATCATGATAGTTTTAATGGATTTAATGATATTGAACTTTTTATGCAACGTAAGAAATCCTATAATTTAAACGATGGATTTAGTATTATTACAGGAAATAATGGACGATGTCATTTTTTTGATGGTAGATTGACTTCAAAGCCAAATGATTCTATTGGAGGATATTATCACATACAATTTCAGAGCATTAATTCTACCAGTATTGTTATTTTCATTGGTGACACCCACGATAAGATGGACTGGACGCTCCTCATTCCTGAAGGAAACGTATTTAATGATGTAGGAGTTGAAATATTAAATGATGGTGGGATTCTCCAATATACAGAGGGCCGTCGACAAGTTTTAGATGGAAGTTACACGTATCGAAGCTTCCTAACTTCCATTATAAAAAATGCTTTTGAAGTTATCAAAGTTGATGAGCAGATAATATCGATTGGAATAATAGCACCGAAAAGGGTCATAAAAGAGGTTGAAACACCATCCTTCAAACTAGCAGACCTTTTCAGTAACATAGGTGGATACCTTTCAATTTGGGTAATTTTTGCCTTTCTCTTTGGTGGTAGAAGAGCAAATCCATTCGGATTTGTAACACGATTTGTATTCATAAAGCAAGATAGGGAAAAACTTTTAAAGGAATTGGAAAAAATGAAAAATGATAGAAAATCGAAGATAAGTACTTTGGAAAGAGAGGTTGATAATGCTACTGAAACGAATAAACCCAGCAATCAAGATGAATTAAGGAACCTGCTTGCAAGATACTATGTTGACATGGATTTCTACGAACATGCTATAAAGTCATTTGACGTGTAATTAAATATATTAAATATTAGGTTAATAGAAATATATAAAGAGTTAAAGACACAGAGAGTAGAGAGTGTATAATTTTTGTCGTTTTTTTGACACTCCTTCCTTGTAATATAAATTTATAAATAGTGTAAAATGTATATCATAAAGTAATTATATCGTTAAAAATATATAATATACGACTATTAATCATTTTTATTTAAAAGACTTTAATTTTTAGATATTATCCTAAAACCCCTGTATAAATAAATTTCTAAATTATTGTTAATAATTGATAAAAAGTTTCTGTAAAGTTTTGTAAATGTGGAATTATTGACAAAATAATAGGAGAGTAAAATAAAATCCATCTTTTTTTATTGAGCGAAGTATTTTTACATACTACGCAATGTTCGTCTGCTGTTAACTACGAGACTTTATTATATGTGATCAGATACATTGCGTATATAATTAGGATTTGTTGTTTAAAACTTTATTAAACTTTGATTATAATATATTTAGTAAATTAATTGTTTTTGAAATGATTTCACACACAATTCAAAATTATATTTCAGTACTTGATTTTATAATGATATTAAATTACACTACTTACCTTATCTCTCCGTTACCTAAGTAAATAATGATAATTTTGCACAATTTATTTATTTAAAGTAATATTTTTTATATTATTATTATTTTCTTCTTTTTTATTACTCTACAAGTTTCATAGTTTATAATTTAAATAATTTATAGCTTACCCAATTATTATTTATTTTTAGTATTAGTAAAATGGTCATTTAAAAAAAATAAAATAAAATAAAATCATTAATTATAATAATTATTATGGAAATGTATATTTATAAATTTCTAGAACAGATTTTTAATGTAGTTACAGCAATTAGTAATAAATTCAAGTTCAGAACCAGAAAATGAATTGTTATTAAACTCTGTGTCCAAATGTTGTTGACATTTTTACTTAACATCTTTATCGATAGAAAAAACTGCACCGCATATTACTGCGCTCTTGTGACATATACCCTTTTTTTTATGAACCATTAATGACCTGATACAGTAAAAGCCAGCACCATTAATATCCTGATGGGTAAATTGAACCATTAATGCGTGAAATGGTAAAATTCTATCATGCAGAACAGTTGATTAAAATATTGAAT